CAATTCCTAATATCAAGAGGTTCTCCTCAACATCAAGGAATCTCCCGTGAAGGACGAATTTCTTTAAGTACAGTATATTTTATTTTGATCGGAGATTTCTGTTACATAAAGCGAGTGATGCACTGGGTTGCTGTTTCACAGTCTAGTAGACTATCCCAGACGAACTGGTCTCACTATGATGGCTGACTATTTTCAGGGCTGTTCTGGTAACCAGGACAGCTGAAGGAATAAGAAACCGCCATTCCGTGGTTGGAATAAGTCACAATTAACCCGCACCTAGGAGAGGAAGCGTTTATTGACGCTTAGGTTTGTTGTAGATCATTGTTAGTTCATTTATTACTTGGTTCAGGACAGACCCAACGTGGTCTTAAGTGATCTCTCTTAAGTACGGATTATTTGTGGTAAGGACAGCCTTAAGTTGCCAAGATAGACTGCCCATTTCCCTTGTTTTAGCGCACAGATGCACACACAAAAGAGAGGTCTGATGGTCTCACGGTCAACGCAGGGGAGACAAATATTGACGAATCTTAAGAACATGAAGACAATTTTCTGCAACATCACCAACTTCTGGGCTGAGCATTTGTTTGATGTGCTGTTATCTTGACCCCGTGAAACCACCCTCAAATCCAGGTGGAAAGGACAAGGTAAGCTCTGTATACTTTTAATTTTTGGACTGCTCACGGTTCTACTATGTAACAGACGTCAGTATTGCTCTCAGAAGCTCTGAAAGGACGTTTAACTTGTTGAGTCTGTGCTATGGAAGAACCTTGGGGAGCATTTTTACCCTTGTTTATAACTAGTCTGTTTGCGCCCGCAGTATTACCCTTCTCTCTCTTATCGCTGATTTCTGATTTAATTTTAAAGATTTCAAATAAGGTTTATTTTTTTTTTAATTTTTTTTTTGGGGGGAGGGATGCTCTAACACGGAGATGAATATTTAGTAACGTCCTAGCAACCACAGCATTAGTGACGTTATTTATCACCACTATAACGCCAGACTCCATAACGTTTCATTACAAAACACTTTAGTGAAGCGTTATGGAATCTGACGACACGTTAGTGATAACTAACACTTACATTCATACGTTGGTTTAGAAAGACACATAAGCAAACACTGACATATTTATTACCAAGGTTTATACCACATTCATACGTACATACAGACATTCATTTTAATATCTCTAGTCGACGGGGATATCATTCCCGGATCACGCACCTACAAAAATATTTTTAATTATTACCGCGGTCAAACAGCTGTAGTATAATCAGTATTAACCAGTTATTCAACCAAATACAGGAACACAATTCCAGTTATTCAACCGAATACAGGAGCACAATTCCAGTTATTCAACCGAATACAGGAACACAATTCCAGTTATTCAACCGAATACAGGAACACAATTCCAGTTATTCAACCGAAGAACAGGAATACAATTCCAGTTATTCAACCGAAGAAGAGGAACACAGTTCCAGTTATTCAACCGAAGAAGAGGAACACAGTTCCAGTTATTCATCCAAATACAGGAACACAATTCCAGTTATTCAACCGAATACAGGAACACAATTCCAGTTATTCAACCGAATACAGGAACACAATTCCAGTTATTCAACCGAAGAATAGGAACACAGTTCCAGTTATTCATCCAAATACAGGAACACAATTCCAGTTATTCAACCGAATACAGGAACACAGTTCCAGTTATTCATCCAAATACAGGAACACAATTCCAGTTATTCAACCGAATACAGGAACACAATTCCAGTTATTCAACCGAATACAGGAACAATTCCAGTTATTCAACCGAATACAGGAACACAATTCCAGTTATTCAACCGAATACAGGAACAATTCCAGTTATTCAACCGAATACAGGAACACAATTCCAGTTATTCAACCGAATACAGGAACACAATTCCAGTTATTCAACCGAATACAGGAACACAATTCCAGTTATTCAACCGAAGAATAGGAACACAGTTCCAGTTATTCATCCAATACAGGAACACAATTCCAGTTATTCAACCGAATACAGGAACACAATTCCAGTTATTCAACCGAATACAGGAACACAATTCCAGTTATTCAACCGAATACAGGAACACAATTCCAGTTATTCAATCGAATACAGGAACACAATTCCAGTTATTCAACCGAATACAGGAACAATTCCAGTTATTCAACCGAATACAGGAACACAATTCCAGTTATTCAACCGAATACAGGAACACAATTCCAGTTATTCAACCGAATACAGGAACACAATTCCAGTTATTCAACCGAATACAGGAACACAATTCCAGTTATTCAACCGAATACAGGAACACAATTCCAGTTATTCAACCGAATACAGGAACAATTCCAGTTATTCAACCGAATACAGGAACACAATTCCAGTTATTCAACCGAATACAGGAACACAATTCCAGTTATTCAACCGAATACAGGAACACAATTCCAGTTATTCAACCGAATACAGGAACAATTCCAGTTATTCAACCGAATACAGGAACACAATTCCAGTTATTCAACCGAATACAGGAACACAATTCCAGTTATTCAATCGAATACAGGAACACAATTCCAGTTATTCAACCGAATACAGGAACAATTCCAGTTATTCAACCGAATACAGGAACACAATTCCAGTTATTCAACCGAATACAGGAACAATTCCAGTTATTCAACCGAATACAGGAACACAATTCCAGTTATTCAACCGAATACAGGAACACAATTCCAGTTATTCAACCGAATACAGGAACACAATTCCAGTTATTCAACCGAAGAATAGGAACACAGTTCCAGTTATTCATCCAAATACAGGAACACAATTCCAGTTATTCAACCGAATACAGGAACACAATTCCAGTTATTCAACCGAATACAGGAACACAATTCCAGTTATTCAACCGAATACAGGAACACAATTCCAGTTATTCAACCGAATACAGGAACAATTCCAGTTATTCAACCGAATACAGGAACACAATTCCAGTTATTCAACCGAATACAGGAACACAATTCCAGTTATTCAACCGAATACAGGAACACAATTCCAGTTATTCAACCGAATACAGGAACACAATTCCAGTTATTCAACCGAATACAGGAACAATTCCAGTTATTCAACCGAATACAGGAACAATTCCAGTTATTCAACCGAATACAGGAACACAATTCCAGTTATTCAACCGAATACAGGAACACAATTCCAGTTATTCAACCGAATACAGGAACACAATTCCAGTTATTCAACCGAATACAGGAACAATTCCAGTTATTCAACCGAATACAGGAATACAATTCCAGTTATTCAACCGAATACAGGAACACAATTCCAGTTATTCAATCGAATACAGGAACACAATTCCAGTTATTCAACCAAATACAGGAACACAATTCCAGTTATTCAACCAAATACAGGAACACAATTCCAGTTATTCAACCAAAGAACAGGGACAATTCCAGTTATTCAGCCGAATACAGGAACAATTCCAGTTATTCAGCCGAATACAGGAACAATTCCAGTTATTCAGCCGAATACAGGAACACAATTCCAGTTATTCAACCGAATACAGGAACACAATTCCAGTTATTCAACCAAAGAACAGGGACAATTCCAGTTATTCAACCGAAGAACAGGGACAATTCCAGTTATTCAACCGAAGAACAGGAATACAATTCCAGTTATTCAACCGAAGAAGAGGAACACAGTTCCAGTTATTCAACCGAAGAAGAGGAACACAGTTCCAGTTATTCATCCAAATACAGGAACACAATTCCAGTTATTCAACCGAATACAGGAACACAATTCCAGTTATTCAACCGAATACAGGAACACAATTCCAGTTATTCAACCGAAGAATAGGAACACAGTTCCAGTTATTCATCCAAATACAGGAACACAATTCCAGTTATTCAACCGAATACAGGAACACAATTCCAGTTATTCAACCGAATACAGGAACACAATTCCAGTTATTCAACCGAATACAGGAACACAATTCCAGTTATTCAACCGAATACAGGAACACAATTCCAGTTATTCAACCGAATACAGGAACACAATTCCAGTTATTCAACCGAATACAGGAACACAATTCCAGTTATTCAACCGAATACAGGAACACAATTCCAGTTATTCAACCGAATACAGGAACACAATTCCAGTTATTCAACCGAATACAGGAACACAATTCCAGTTATTCAACCGAATACAGGAACACAGTTCCAGTTATTCAACCGAATACAGGAACACAATTCCAGTTATTCAACCGAATACAGGAACAATTCCAGTTATTCAACCGAATACAGGAACACAATTCCAGTTATTCAACCGAATACAGGAACACAATTCCAGTTATTCAACCGAATACAGGAACAATTCCAGTTATTCAACCGAATACAGGAACACAATTCCAGTTATTCAACCGAATACAGGAACACAATTCCAGTTATTCAACCGAATACAGGAACACAATTCCAGTTATTCAACCGAATACAGGAACACAATTCCAGTTATTCAATCGAATACAGGAACACAATTCCAGTTATTCAACCAAATACAGGAACACAATTCCAGTTATTCAACCAAAGAACAGGGACAATTCCAGTTATTCAGCCGAATACAGGAACAATTCCAGTTATTCAGCCGAATACAGGAACAATTCCAGTTATTCAACCGAATACAGGAACACAATTCCAGTTATTCAACCGAATACAGGAACACAATTCCAGTTATTCAACCGAATACAGGAACACAATTCCAGTTATTCAACCGAATACAGGAACACAATTCCAGTTATTCAACGGAATACAGGAACACAATTCCAGTTATTCAACCGAATACAGGAACACAATTCCAGTTATTCAACCAAATACAGGAACACAATTCCAGTTATTCAACCGAACAACAGGGACACAGTTCCACTTATTCAACAGAAGAACAGAAACAGTTCCAGTTATTCAACCGAAAAACAGGAACACAATTCAGCGACCAATCAGTGAAAACAGACCCATGTTATCACTACTTGTTCAATGCTTCTATAACAATGTTCCACTGACCACTGCTGTTAGTGAACATTCAACGATGAATAACATTTTAGTGACCAGTTAAGGAACAGGAACTGACTACACAGACCTCTCTCTCTCTGGACGTAGGTAAACAGAGGTCGCAGTGTTAAGGTGAAGGGTGGGGGTGCGCGTGCGCACGATGTGTAGGCAAGAAGTGCAACCCTCTCTGAAAAAAAAAAAGCTTGAAGGTATATACTACAGCGTGTGGGTGCTGGAGGAGTCGACCTCCACTAACACACCCGATCAAGGGTGCTGGAGGAGTCGACCTCCACTAACACACCCGATCAAGGGTGCTGGAGGAGTCGACCTCCACTAACGCACACGATCAAGGGTGCTGGAGGAATCGACCTCCACTAACACACCCGATCAAGGGTGCTGGAGGAGTCGACCTCCACTAACACACCCGATCAAGGGTGCTGGAGGAGTCGACCTCCACTAACGCACCCGATCAAGGGTGCTGGAGGAATCGACCTCCACTAACACACCCGATCAAGGGTGCTGGAGGAGTCGACCTCCACTAACACACCCGATCAAGGGTGCTGGAGGAGTCGACATCCACTAACACACCCGATCAAGGGTGCTGGAGGAGTCGACCTCCACTAACACACCCGATCAAGGGTGCTGGAGGAGTCGACCTCCACTAACACACCCGATCAAGGGTGCTGGAGGAGTCGACCTCCACTAACACACCCGATCAAGGGTGCTGGAGGAGTCGACCTCCACTAACACACCCGATCAAGGGTGCTGGAGGAGTCGACCTCCACTAACACACCCGATCAAGGGTGCTGGAGGAGTCGACCTCCACTAACACACCCGATCAAGGGTGCTGGAGGAGTCGACCTCCACTAACACACCCGATCAAGGGTGCTGGAGGAGTCGACCTCCACTAACACACCCGATCAAGGGTGCTGGAGGAGTCGACCTCCACTAACACACCCGATCAAGGGTGCTGGAGGAGTCGACCTCCACTAACACACCCGATCAAGGGTGCTGGAGGAGTCGACCTCCACTAACACACCCGATCAAGGGTGCTGGAGGAGTCGACCTCCACTAACACACCCGATCAAGGGTGCTGGAGGAGTCGACCTCCACTAACACACCCGATCAAGGGTGCTGGAGGAGTCGACCTCCACTAACACACCCGATCAAGGGTGCTGGAGGAGTCGACCTCCACGAACACACCCGATCAAGGGTGCTGGAGGAGTCGACCTCCACTAACACACCCGATCAAGGGTGCTGGAGGAGTCGACCTCCACTAACACACCCGATCAAGGGTGCTGGAGGAGTCGACCTCCACTAACACACCCGATCAAGGGTGCTGGAGGAGTCGACCTCCACTAACACACCCGATCAAGGGTGCTGGAGGAGTCGACCTCCACTAACACACCCGATCAAGGGTGCTGGAGGAGTCGACCTCCACTAACACACCCGATCAAGGGTGCTGGAGGAGTCGACCTCCACTAACACACCCGATCAAGGGTGCTGGAGGAGTCGACCTCCACTAACACACCCGATCAAGGGTGCTGGAGGAGTCGACCTCCACTAACACACCCGATCAAGGGTGCTGGAGGAGTCGACCTCCACTAACACACCCGATCAAGGGTGCTGGAGGAGTCGACCTCCACTAACACACCCGATCAAGGGTGCTGGAGGAGTCGACCTCCACTAACACACCCGATCAAGGGTGCTGGAGGAGTCGACCTCCACTAACACACCCGATCAAGGGTGCTGGAGGAGTCGACCTCCACTAACACACCCGATCAAGGGTGCTGGAGGAGTCGACCTCCACTAAACACACCCGATCGAGGGTGCTGGAGGAGTCGACCTCCACTAACACACCCGATCAAGGGTGCTGGAGGAGTCGACCTCCACTAACACACCCGATCAAGGGTGCTGGAGGAGTCGACCTCCACTAACACACCCGATCAAGGGTGCTGGAGGAGTCGACCTCCACTAACACACCCGATCAAGGGTGCTGGAGGAGTCGACCTCCACTAACACACCCGATCAAGGGTGCTGGAGGAGTCGACCTCCACTAACACACCCGATCAAGGGTGCTGGAGGAGTCGACCTCCACTAACACACCCGATCGAGGGTGCTGGAGGAGTCGACCTCCACTAACACACCCGATCGAGGGTGCTGGAGGAGTCGACCTCCACTAACACACCCGATCGAGGGTGCTGGAGGAGTCGACCTCCACTAACACACCCGATCAAGGGTGCTGGAGGAGTCGACCTCCACTAACACACCCGATCAAGGGTGCTGGAGAAATCGACCTCCACTAACACACACGATCAAGGGTGCTGGAGGAGTCGACCTCCACTAACACACGATCAAGGGTGCAGGAGGAGTCGACCTCCACTAATACACCCGATCAAGGGTGCTGGAGGAGTCGACCTCCACTAACACACCCGATCAAAGGAGCTGGAGTCGACCCTTTAACTCACCCGACCAAGTGCACTAGAATCAACCTCCAGTGACCCACACAAAACCCTAGAAGTTGCCTGAGTCGACCCACGCTGACCCACAGCGAACCGGAGGCATAATTACAGATAATAATAAAGGAAAAAACATCTACTCTAGATAAGACTTATCAAAATTACACAAACACTGATTGGTTTATTAAGTTAATCTATCGACAATATGTTAGGTACTGTAGGACACAAGTGCTTGACGAAGCTCCTGGAGAGCGAAACGTTCCCACAATAAAATATCACATTAGTTACACTTATATCCTTTTACCTAACGAGTAGAATTATCTAGACGTGCTCTGCCTTATTTAAAGACATCATGAGCGCCTGCATAAGCGGAAAAACATTAATTACGTCTTATTTTAATCTATAGTTTCAGACTTTAGGGCCATCCCTCATATGCCGTTCACAGGTGGTAAGAACTGTGATCTCCGCGCGCTTCTGGAGGGACAGCTATTGAATAAATACGGATGAATGTGCTCATTAATAACCCTCACGGAGACAAACTCATCTGCTGAAGGGAATCCCAGAAAGGGATCAAATTATACAGACCAATTAATTTTCTGTCGCCATGTGTGTTATTATTGAGCATTGACAAGTGTTTATTACACTCTACTTATCCAAAGATGAAAGTGTTTCCTTCTCTAGTCGATCTTACCTTGATAAGAGAGCGCCGCTGTGGTGAAAAAAAAGAGACCCAGGTATGACGCTGGTGATGATAGAGAACTGGGGGGAATTCGTCCGACGTTCAGTACTTCATCACAAGGTGACCACGGCCAGAGGTTAGCTGCTCTAACCTTCCCTCTTTCTCCAGTGGATGACCTATACAAAGAACACATATAAGAACATAAGAACATAAGAAAGAAGGAACACTGCAGCAGGCCTACTGGCCCATGCGAGGCAGGTCCAAGTCTCCTACCGGCTTAAGCCAATGCCCCAACCTAGTCAGGTCAGGTCACATTCACTTAAGGAAGGAACACGACAACTGACCTAGTAGCACAAGCTAATCAGGTCCAACTCACACCAACCCATACCTACTCATGTATTTATCTAACCTATTTTTAAAACTACACAACGTTTTAGCCTTTATAACTGTACTTGGGAGTTTGTTCCACTCATCCAAAACTCTGTTGCCAAACCAGTGCTTTCCTACATCCTTCCTGAATCTGAATTTTTCCAACTTAAAACCATCGTTACAAGTCCTGTCTAGGCTAGATATTTTCAGCACGTTATTTACATCCCCTTTATTTATTTCGAAACGTTTCGCCCACACAGCAGGCTTCTTCAGTACTCGACTGAAGAAGCCTACTGTGTTTCTATCAACTTTTCTGTACTCGACTGAAGAAGCCCACTGTGTAGGCGAAACGCCTCGAAATAAAGATACCTAACTGTTGCATATGTGTCTTACCTAACAAGATTTCTGATACATGGGATCAACTTTGTCATCCTCCTTTGTATGTTTTCCAGAGCATTTATATCCATTTCTATAATACGGTGACCAAAACTGTGCAGCATAATCTAAATGAGGCCTAACCAAGGATATATAGAGTTGAAGAACAACCTGAGGACTCCTATTATTTATGCTTCTTGATATGAAGCCAACGAGAAGACAGGGATGGGGCAGAGAGAGGAAACCAAAACCAAATCTGGGAATGGTTTATATACAACTGATCAGAGAGCAGCTGCATATACTAACAACTGCATGAACCTTTCCTTAATAAGAGAACACAAGTGTTGAAAACTGGAAGCTGATTGAGACCTTTTCAAGCTATAAACAGAAAGAAACTTTGGAGAAATAACAAACCAAGCAACCACTTAAAAGATACCTCTTCAGGGATACCTAAAACAACGATAAACTTTTCAGCAAAAATAATGGTGAATAAACAAGCCAAGATCGCAAGTTCTGGCCATAAGATACACCTGTACTCATGATCATGTGTGTGGAGTTGGAAGCTACACGCTCCTAACGTAAGTAACGGAGTTGTGGGAGTTGACAACGACTCATCCTCTACCCCCCCCATCCCCAGAGGGAGGCAACCACAGCCGCCCTCTACCACATGTTGCACCTCATTATGCACTCTACAATTATTCAACACCGCAACGCCACATACACCTCTCCACCACCACCCGTAGTAGTCTTCTGTGAGAAAACATACAGAAGCAACTGACAGAGATATAGATGCCAGAAATAATGTGTTATTATCTCTGGCATCTATATCTCTGGCTTTCGCGTGTTGTTTCCTGAAATATGTTGCAGTGCTAGTGAAGTGCTCTTGATCCAATAAATCTGAGCTGCTCTTCCTGTGTTCCTCCCTTCCTACCATCCCGTCTTTCCCAGACTAGTTCCTCTCACCTCCCTCACTTGTCTGTGTCAAGGACTCTGCCCCTCCCCACTTAGTCCTCTCCCATGGAGACATCTCCTTTAAAATTCCATTTCTCCTGTGTATGGGATAGCTTATCATCAGCGACGATTATTTCCAAGTGATGATAGCTATGCTGGAGTTACTGTCACATGAGGATATCGTGTGATATTTACTAGACGCTATCGTCAAGTAATGATCCCTATCCTGTGTGATGGAATATGAGAGGGAACCATGGATGCTACCCTAGAATAGGGAAGCATCACTGCTGATAGATCAACTTTTGTTCGATAAAAACATGTCCCTATCCTCGTCCTGTCCCCCTCCCTCCTCAAGCTGATTTCCTATTCCTCCTTCCCTGTCCTTCCTTCATCCCAGCATCCCCATCCTATCTCCCACGCCCACTGTCATTGATAGTTTTATTATGCATCCCATACCTATCTTGTGGGTGGTGAGTACCTCATATACGCACCGGGTTGCGCTTATGTCATATGAGTGTGAATGATGCGTAGTAGGCTGGTCTATAGCAACCATTTAGGGAGGTACTATCTCCCGTAATATGTGTGGGAAACAAAGGTAGTAAATGGGTAGACCAACAGATGCCTTGAAGAAGTATAGAAAGAAGAATTAAAAATAATAAGGCATTCAGAGGTACAGTTTAATGAGTACAAATTTACGTTGAAGATCCTTTCGCATTTTGCAATAATGACTTGGCGTTTAGCATCACCTCCATGATGCCCTCTGACAACACTCCATCTCAGGGCTGTGACAACACTCCATCCAAGGGAATAAATTATCCCACGCCGATAGAGTCAAGAGAAAAGGTAGCAGAGTGACTATGTGTGTCAGGGAAAATTTAAACTGTTGCATTAGACAAGAATATCAGTGACGGACGCTAAATCTGTTTGGCTTCGGTTTCTTAAGGGAAGCGAAAAGTTAATCAAATTGTCAATCCCTCGGTATCAGTATCTCATGGAATTACCATAATTAATAACTATGTCAAGGTCCATGGCTTCCGTGCGGCCAATTTGATGGGGCTAAGGGAATTATCTCGGTAGAGGAAAAATGGGCAACCTGATCTGAGATTATCCTGTGGAGCAGGACGGAAATAACTGCTAATATGACATTTTTCAAAGCACTGCACAACCTGCCCAAGCCACACATACTTCAAACAGGGAAATTAGATCAACGAAAAATACTAAAAGAATAATCAGTGAATTAAAACAGATCAAAAGAGAGGCATTGACAGACGAATAAAAAACAAGAGAGGAGCATTTCGGGAATCAATATATTCAGTTAAGGAAAGAAATCAAGAAAGTAATTAGAAAAGACAAAAGAGATTATGAAGTTAGAGTCGCAAGGGAATCGAAGTCCAACCCTAAAGGTTTCTCTGGGGTATATAGGAATAAGAGTAATATCTTAGCTCTACTTACTGACAGTGATGAAGAAATGTATACAATATTTAACACTTATTTCCTCCCTGTTTTACAGAGGAAGATATAAACACAATTCCAGAAATAACGAATTATGTAGAACAGGACGAAAATAAGTTATTCACGAAGTCACTAGTAATGTGGTTCTCAGACAAATAGATTTAAACCAGACTAGTCACCAGGCTCTGATAAACTGTTTTTAAGTGTTATAATGGAATGTAAAGAGGGTATAACACCGGATAAGTGGAAATAGTAAATGTGATACCTATTTAATAAGCGGGAGGTACTTCTTTAGCTTCGAATTACAGATCGATCAACTTAACCTCCACTGTGGAAAAATTGATGGAATCAATAACTGCGGAAGAGATTCGAAGCCACATTGAGAGAGATAAATTGACCACTGAGTCTCAGCATAGTTTTTCAAAGGGGGTATTCATGTCTTACGAGTTTACTAACCTTTCTCACTAAGGTATTCAAGGTAGTAGAGCATGATAATGAATATGAAACAGACGCCAGTGAAGTCACTGATAGAATTTCACACGGGAGGCTGTTGAAGAAAGTAACAGCACACGGTATAGAAGAAGAAATTTTCTCCTTGATCAAGGTGTGGTTGACCGGGAGGCAGAGTTTACATAAATAGGGAGAAATCAGAGTGAGGACGTGTCACAAGTGGGGGTCTACAGGGGTCAGTATTCAGCCGCTTGTTGTTCACGATAGACGAGGGAATAAATAGCGACACAAGTTTGCCGATGACACTGAAATAGGCCGTTAGATAAATTCTGATGAATTTATCTGACGGATAAGATGATGTGGTCGAGAAAGTGGCAGATGCAGCTCAGAGTGGATAATGTTAGCCTCTAATCCTAGGAAAATTTAATGGAAATGGCACTAATAAACTAAATAATGTAGAAGACAAACTGAATGCGAGAAAAGCTTAGGAGCTCTGGTTGGCAGTAATCTTAAGCCAAGACAACAATGTATAAATCTTCGCAATGAAGCTAATAAAATTCTTGGCTTCATATAAAGAAGACTAACAGAAGTCCTCAGGTTATACTTCAATTTCATATATCCTTTGTTAGGCCTCGTCTAGATTATGCTGCTCAGTTTTGGTCTGTTACAGAATAAACATAAATGCGCTAGAAAACGTACGGAGAAGTTGATCCCATGTATCAGAAATCTTTCCTACGAGGCCAGACTAAAGGAACTGAATCTGCACTCTAGAAAGGCACAGAATTGGAGGGAGAGAGATGAATGAAGAGTGCATATGGAAGATGGGAATAAATAAGGGAATGTAAATAACTTGGGGGGAAATAACCAAGAAAAGGACTCGCACCGATTGGTTTAAGTGTTACAACTTTAGGTATAGAAAAAATACAGGAAAGCACTGATTAGTCAGCAGAGTTGTGGGTGAGTGGAACAAACTGCCTAGTAGCGTCACTGGACAGATATATGAGTAGATGTGGATGAGTGTGAGCTGACCGGCCTAGCATGGGCTAGAAGATCTGCTGTAGTGATTCTTTGTCTTATGTTGTGCCAACACTCTTTCCCTGGGCTCTGACAACACGCTATCTCAGAACTTTGACAACACTTCATGTCAGGGCTGTGGCAACATTCTACCTCAGGGCTGTGGCAACATTCTACCTCAGGGCTGTGGCAACATTCTACCTCAGGGCTGTGGCAACACACTTTGTTCTCCCAACAGTGTGGCTGGTAATGTTGGCTACGTCTTACCATCATCTAAGACGTGTGTTTCCACATTCCTTTCTATCTTCTGGCAATGTAATTCACTGCTCATCTTTCAGTAATTACTTTCAGCAAATGGATTTTGCTCATTATGCTAAGTAGGTGTTAAAGTTCAGCCATCCATTGTTTTGCAGAAATATTATTATTATTATTTGCATCTACCATTTCCGACCAAGACAGGATAAACTAAAAAATGGGAAAAAAAACATTCAATCAGTGTCTGCCAAATCACTCACCGAAATGGAACTTCCTCACGAATCATTTGGAAAGGAGTCGTTGACCCGTAAGTGTCACAGCGCCTCTGAAATGGTGTAGGGGGTGTTATCAGGTTTGATTCCAGGATAGGAAGAGCAGCTCCAGTTCACTGTCTGACAAACTCTTCACTGGAGAGAGAGAGAGAGAGAGAGAGAGAGAGAGAGAGAGAGAGAGAGAGAGAGAGAGAGAAGAGAGAGAGAGAGAGAGCAAGTGTAAATATTGTGGGGTAAGGAGAGCCAGGTATGTACTTGAGGTTGATGATCTGCCTCGTGCATACACTCAGACCAAGTCTGTGTGTGTGGGAGTGCTGTTCTAGGTTTACCTGGAGTTGGACCTCGATTCTAGAGCTTGTTTGGCCCAGCGTGATCCAGATTCTGCAACAGCACTTCCCGGTCCAGCTTGACCAAACTTTGTCATGTCTTGATCAAAGCATACATGTATTATACCTGCAAGTTGCTGGCATCACCATACCTGTTCTACCAGACCTTGTCATGGAGCCCTGAGCTATGTCATATTTTACACTGACCTGGTTGTCTATCGTTGAACACATCTGATTTAAGAACATAAGAAAGGAGGAACACTGCAGGAGGCCTGTTGGCCCATACTAGGCAGGTCCTTTACAATTCATCCCACTAACAAAACATTTGCCCAACCCAATTTTTCTGTAAAGTAGGACCTAGCAAGGACGAAGCTGCATTCTCTTACTGAAGCTGCTAGAAATTATTTAAGAGCCAAGTCATTACTGGATCAGGAGTCATTACCGCAGAGTAAGTAGTAATCTTAACTCTAAATAAATAAGAGTTTAGCTCTATTTTTTTCGTAAATACATGAATAATTAGCCATGGATGTCTCCAGTGTATTTTTTGGTTAAACTTCACCGTGACCCAGGTTGACCCTGACCCAGATCCCTGACAAGACTGTCATGGACCAGAGGTCATTCTTGTTACCTGTCGCCCTTCATTACCCACCTTCACTCTCTCTCTCTATAGTCTCACCATTGACCCTAAAATGATTTTTCATTGGCCTAAATGGCTGTAAAAGATGTAAAATCTCTACGTCTTCTATCATCGTTTCTTTTTCGGCCTTTCCTGAGGAATAAAGTGTTTCTGTAGTATCGTTTGATAGACTCGGATTCGCTAAATGTTTGTGTGTTGTTTAGGCGAGGAGAAATTACGTTTAACTATAAAATTCTTTAAGGAATTAAGGAATGGTTTGGTTTTCGAGATTTTTTTTTTTTTTTTTAGAGGGAAGTCCGTGTAATTCTTTGTATTTTTTCGTAATTTCACGCATAGTTCGCGTTTTTTTTTTCACACTGGCGATCATATAATTTTGGCAGACTGAATTACGCTGTCCGTATAGCGACGGCCGCGATAAATGACTTATCAAAATCATGTAGCACCACCTGATATAATATTAAATTCTCCTGTACTCGCTCTAACTCATCTAATGACCATATGAACTAAGTATTATTGCCTTACTATTCTTAAATTAATCTTTAAGTTTGCCCGAAATGCTCAGCATACAGAGAGATTTGGCATGTACACCCAACTATTATATACCTCTGTACAACCATATAACTTGTCAAAATAAAAAATCTAAATCTAAATACTGCACATCAAAGTTTAATATGAAAGAAAAAAAATGTTCCATGGCACAAATACAGTGGAATGGTGACGTAAGAGAATAATTTAGGCACGAAATTATCAACCAGGAAAGCAAAGACAAGACAGAAGACTGTACAATGTGTTAACAGATAAGGAGGCACGCACCAGAGGTGGAAGGGATAGGAGAGGCACTGAAAAGACTAATGGGAAAATAAGGGGACCCCTGATGAAGCTCTTCACATCAGAGGAGTCGGAACCATAGCAGCTTAAATACTCTGCAGTCCACCCACACTGATCAATAATAATCAAAATGGGTGAAATTTCAGACGACTAGATGATATTAGACATGATCCTAATATTCAAGAAAGGTATCAGATAGAAACCACTGAATTATGGACTAGTGTTGATAACAAATAAAGAGCAATTTGCTAGAGCAAGGTACAAAGAATTGATGGAAACCTCAAACATAATAAATTCCTCACAAAACACCAGCATGGATTCAGAGATGGGAAATCGTGAACATAAAACAGAGTAACATCAGCTAGCCAGGAGAAGGAATACGGGTGTACTGCATATTTCAAATCAAAAGGAAAATTTTTGATACGAAGCTGCATAGAAGATTACTTAGTAAAGTGGAGAAGCAAGCTGGAGTAACAGGGAAGGTATGGATATGGGAATACTTGGATAATTACAACAGGGAGAAACTTTTAGGAACCAGTCATTAGGATAGGAAAGAATAAACTAGTGAGATACATTGTGTCTTGTGAGTAATAATATGACAAAATGAGACATATGTCATAATGATATAAGAAAAGGAACTTACTCCTGATAATTTTTTTTTGCGGATTCCAAACTAATAAGAAGAGCAATTAAAGAGGGAAAAAATGCTACAATGAGACTTGAACTAAAATAATAGAATAAAGTTTGGCGGGGAAAAAACTGGTTATAGTAATTACTTTAAACTTATCCCCTGAAGCACAATGAACAGAATAACATCAGCAGCACAAAGTTCGTAAATATAACTATGACATTCATGAAGGTAGACACGTTTTCAAGTATATTTTATCCCATCTAAGTGAATTATTCTTGAGCATTCATCGGCAGTGTGGAATCATCAGCTGTTAAAACACCAAATGCAGAGTGATGTGTCCATGGGAGAGTCTAGAATGGTGGTTCTTATGAGGGAAATGATTTGTGAGGAAAGAATTTGAGAAAGAGGGTTTCTGTTACTGTAAGAATGAAGAAGACGAGGGGATATGGTCATAATGTACAAAATATTGTAGAAGATCAATAGTGAAAGATTGGATATTGATAAGATAAGAGAAAAGTGCAGAAGACGGAAACAAACAAGCCAGGTAAGGACTGGACAATGTCACACACTCTACAGCCACGAGGATATCAGGAATTTTTTCTCCCTCTTTCTCCCTTCTCCTCTCTCTCTCTCCTCTCTCCCTCCCCTCCTCTCTCTCCCCCCTCCTCTCTTCTCTCCCTCCTCCTCTCTCCCTCCCTCCTTCTCTCCCTCTCTCTTCTCTCCCTCCCTCCTTCTCTCCCTCCTTCTCTCTCTCTCTCCCTCTCTCTCCTCTCTCCCTCTCTCTCCTCTTCTCCTCTCTCTCTCCCTCTCTCTCTCTCCTCTCTCTCTCTCTCCCTCCTCTCTCTCCCTCTCTCTCTCTCTCTCTCTCTCTCTCTCTCTCTCTCCCCTCTCTCTCCTCCCCTCTCTCTCTCTCTCTCCCCCTCTCTCTCTCTCCCTCTCTCTCTCTCCCCTCTCTCTCTCTCTCTCCCCCTCTCTCTCTCTCTCTCTCCCCCATCTCTCTCTCCCCCTCTCTCTCAGTCCCTTGACTCACCCTCTCGTCCACCCTGCAGGACAACCACACTATCTCCCAGACAAAACCAGGACACACGTCCTTCACAGACTCTTGTGACATCCTCTGGCCTGACTCAGCATCAAGGAGTGCGGGAAGGGGCACACCACTCAGGTGCCACGCTGGGAGTGACCTACAAGATAAATCTCTTCTTATCCACCAACACTGAGATCTGGATAGATATCAAACTCTTTCTAATCCAGCTTCAAAGACCAGGGTCAGATTAATTACAATAATATCTTAGCTGACATCAATGACATACTACTATATAGAAAGCCGCTTGTTATGAAAAGCATTTCGGGCAAATTAGGTCAATTTTGTCCCAGGATGAGACCCACACCAGTCCACTAACACCCAGGTACCAATTTTACTGATGGGGAACATAGACAACCAGTGTAAGGAAACACGTCCAATGTTTCTACCCTTCCCGGGAATTGAACCCGGACCTCGCCGTGTGAAGCGAGAGCTTTAGCCACCAAGCCACGGGGCACAGTAGGAGATTAAACGTTAGAGAAGGATAGATGAAAGCTTTTGACCCATTATAGGAGCGGAGATAAGGTCAAATGAGAAATATGACTTAATGTTTTCTATGCTGAGGTATAAGAGGCAACATAATTACTGCTCAGTAATCTATCCGAGCCTCCAGTACAGTGTTGCATAATTATTACTCGTGGGGGTAAAACGCTAAAATCAAAAGGGTCAGACAGCGAGTGCCTGAGGACTGGTAGTGAGAAAGAAATTGAAGGGCAGCTCCAATTCCAAGTACCAAGAGCCCTTCACCATAATCTAGGTACCCCTCTTCAAAGGTATGATTTCCTTCGATACCACTGACAAGACAGTGGTAGCCACTTACAAAATAGTGGTAACCACTGGCAAAATAGTTGTAACACCTTATAAGATTTTAGTAACTAGAAGCCACTTATAAAATAATGGTAACCACTTAAAAGAAAGTTATGAACATTATCTTTAAGTGTTTATATTCAAAATTAATCGATAAATCCACAAGGGTCAGGGTAATATATAAAAAAATTGGTAACCACTTAAAAGACAGTGGCACCCACCTATAAGACAGTGGCACCCACCTATAAGACAGTGGCACCCACCTATAAGACAGTGGCACCCACCTATAAGACAGTGGCACCCACCTATAAGACAGTGGCACCCACCTATAAGACAGTGGCACCCACCTACGAGATAGTAACATCCATCTACAAGATAGCAACATCCATCTACAAGATAGTAACATCCATCTACAAGATAGCAACATCCATCTACAAGATAGTAACATCCATCTACAAGATAGTAACATCCATCTACAAGATAGTAACATCCATCTACAAGATAGTAACATCCATCTACAAGATAGCAACATCCATCTACAAGATAGTAACATCCATCTACAAGATAGTAACATCCATCTACAAGATAGTAACATCCATCTACAAGATAGTAACATCCATCTACAAGATAGTAACATCCATCTACAAGATATAACATCCATCTACAAGATAGTAACATCCATCTACAAGATAGTAACATCCATCTACAAGATAGTAACATCCATCTACAAGATAGTAACATCC